TATTAGTGTTGTTTGGTGAGTTTTATGTTTATACTGTCAGAATTTAAGAGTTCCAAGCCAAGCCTATTAAAATAATATTGGATTAAAGAACTCATATTGTATAAGTGATGCCCAGCTCTAATTATTTGTTAAACCAAATGTCCTTAATTATCTTAAGAGATATTATAAAATTATGCAATTTAAGTTTATTTCTTTTAAGTATTTCTTTTGTGAAATCAAAATCAAGCTGTATGGTAGTTTTTTTAATGAGTTACAAAATTACTTGCTTTTTAAACAGTATTAAGTTATATATTATTGTCAGAATATGACACACTCAGAGGATCTTCGTGAAATTACCTGGTATGGAAACTTGTCTCTCGTTCTTCATTTGCTTTAGCTTATCTGTCATAGACATGTACTAGCTTATTTTTTTCCTCCCTCGGTATCTTTTTTTCTTTTGTAATTTTACAGAGTGGTAAATTATTATATTGCTAAGTTTCATAAATTATTGACTTTGTAATATGGGAAATGTATGATGAGTTATGAAATATAGGTCTGCTCTGATCTTGTGTTATTATTCTGGGAAACGAAATTTATGTGTTCGAATTCTAGAATATGAAATATCTATGCTGAACCAAATGTCATGGCTAATGAAGACTGCTTCAATAGAACTAAGGGTGACTTCTCTGAATCGTCAACGGTCACATACCCAGAGGCTCCTACACCTCTTACTGGATGACATGCCAGTGAAACCATACTCAGGTGAATATGTGAATATTGGCGTTCGTCTTACTGTGCTGGTGACTGGTCTTTGTGAAGACAAGCACGAATCTGAATCTTGTGCTCAGTGTGTGATTATAGACCAAAATAGTTCTTTTTACCTTTAGAACATTTTTCATTAAAACACAAATTTTAAAATTATCCCATGGTAGTCATTTTGTTATTGTTTTGAGCATCTATATTTCCCTATAGTCATACAGATGTTATATACGAAATATTCAGTTGAGTTTGTCACACTGAGCCAGCATGACCTGTTACTTCACTATGTTTTATACATGCAAATTAAGCACAAGCTTTTAAATCAGCTCATTGGCATGATTAGGTCTTACCAGTTTTGGAATCCTGATTATTCTCTTCACAATTGTGAAGTGAATCCCATAGGGAAAGAAAGAATTAGATGAATATTGGTAGTAAGTCCTCATCAATCGTTGCATTTTAATTATCTATTTGCAAAGGGATCTTTGACCTAGAAACAATGACCTAGAAATAAAATACCTGTGTTTGTTATTTCCAAGTGTAGTTTTAAGAGTAGGTTCTTCTTATTCTGATCT